GCGGAAGACAGTGATGGAAAATGGTGGTGGGTGGTGGCTAGTGTTGGGTGGCAAAAAAAAAAAAAAATTGAAAACTCAAAATGGAAACACATTTTTGGTGTTTTTATTTTTTAGCCAAATTTATAAACTGAGACCACTGATTTATAAATCAAAAATTTTACCAAACAAGTTTTTATTTGAGTTTTTTAAATTTTTGTAAATATAAACAGAAAACTGAAAACGTAGGTGTTACCAAACGGCACCTTAGTCTTACCGAGCTATGATGAAGAAGCTATAACAGACAAAAGCAGCAGTCTATGAGATGGTGATGATGCTGAAAGCTGAGTCGTGTGAGAAGATGATGGTGTGATAAACTTCTTCAACTACATTACTTTGTTGGACAAAATTATGATCTTTGTCTCTAATTTTTACATTTTTAATTTTTTTCAAGATGATATTCACTGTGTTTTGTTTGAATTTTCTGGATTAAATTTTTTGAAAATTAACTTTTTTTGGTTTTTGTGTTTTTTGTTTTTAGTGAATATTTTTTAAATTTTAAACATTTTTTTTTTACTTTTTTAGATGCACCTTACTTATATGTATCTAAAAAGTAAAAAATTTGTGAAAAAATATTTTAAAAAATTAATAAATACATAAAAATACAAAAAATGTACTGAATTCTTGTATTTTTTTGTATTTTTGGTATTTAGTGAATTTTTAATTTTTTTTTTACTTTTTAGGTGTATTTATGTTAGGTGTGTCTAAAAAGTAAAAAAAATTACTTAAAATATTAAAAAAATCAGTAAAAACAAAAAAATACGAAAAATAAGAAAGTAGAATTTTCTGAAAAGTGTTTTGAAAAACTGAGGTGATTGTTATTTTGTCTTGCAAAATAGATTTCAATGACAAAATTTGTTCATTTTGACAAAGAAAAAAAAATTTAAATCACGAAAGGTGCATTTTATTGTGATGAGCTATCACAACATGATTAATATCATGTAAAACATTACATTGAATACTATGTAACGTAACACTTAGATATTATGTTACATCATTAATCTTATTATTGTTCCTTTGGTTGGAAGACACATATGTACTATCAACTAGCTACTTAAAAAAAAAAAAAACAAAACAAAACAAAACTTGGTCACAGAAATGGTGCTCATCAGAGGGTGACTCTCAGTCATTTCACTACAAAATATAAGAGTTTTAGAAATTAAATATTTTGGTCTCTAAAAGTAAAAATTTTGATGCAAAAGACATTTAGGGATCAATTTCTACTGTTTTGAGGATAGTCGCTAAAGGATCGTTTCGAAAAGTCAAAAATAGGGCTTTTAGTGACAAAAATTTGAAAATGTCAGTAATAAATAGACTTTTAGGGACAAAATAGTTTGGTCTCAAAATGATTTATTTTTTGAAACAAAAAATTTGGTTCCAAAAAGATAATAATTCATCGCTAATGTTTAATTTTCGTTGCTAAAAATACAATAAAGACACTTTTCGCAACAAAAATATTTGGTACTTCAAAAATAATTTTATCCCTAAATTTTGATTTCTAAAATCTCAATTTTTTGTAGTGTTTATACCAGCAAGTAATTAACATATGATGACATCCTTAGTTTTTTTTTTTTTTTATATATATAAAAATTTTCAAGGGTCACGGACTTAATAATTTTTTTTTAACATAACTACTGAATTTTTTTTTATTAAAGTTGAAAATAAGATTTTTTATTTTTTTTAAGAAACGAGAGAAGCAATTTAGGGGTTGTTTGGGATGTCCTAAATAAGTGTACTTTTTGATTTTTTATGAAATATAGGTTGGGTATGGGTTAGATTTGAAGTAATGTAATAAAAAGGTGATATGACTTAAATAAAATAATGTGACTTAAATAAGATAGTAACTTTTTAAATTTTTTTAAAAATGCTAAACGTAACCTTAAAGTCTAGTACCAGATGAAGTTTTACTTCCGGCGAAGAAGATTTTGTCATTGAAATAATCATTATAAAATTTGCGATAAGACTTTGTACGTTTTGCCGTTCCTTGTATCTTTACTTTAATGGGAGCCTCGAGCATTGAATTAGTTCTTAAAAGTTATTCGGATGGTTGTCAAAATAAATAAATAAATAAATATATATATATATATATATATAAGGATAATTATTAGTCGATTCGATTCTACAAGAGTTCATTTACTCATAACTCTTGAGTAAAAAATTTATAAACATACAAGTCTTGGGAATGAGAAATTAGTGTTAGTTAGGTTGTGTTTAATTGTGAAATTTAAAAAAAAGAAAAAAGAAAAGGGGTATGAAATTAAGTAAATTATAGGTATATTTTATTTATATTTTATCTGTTTTTTTTTTATTTTCCTTTCTAAATTCCTTCTCAAATCAAATCCCTCAACTAAACCCAATATTTTTGTTTATACGCGCAGTTAAGATGTGAGTTTTATTTGTTAGATTAATAAATTTATAAATGTAGCTGAAAAATTGTCATTCTATCAATTTTTTATTTTTATTTCTAGCAGTACTTAATGATAAATAAGTCCAATCCATAAAACTTGCCCATAATTGCTCCTTGGGTTTGCTCCAAAACAGATTCTAATAGTTACGGCCCAAATGGCCCAAACATTGTCTTCTCAGTAGCAAAATGTTTAAGCTTAGACCAAATTGACCTCTTTGCTTTTCTTTCTTTCTTTCTTTCTTTCCTTTTTGTTTTTTTTTCTACAAATCCATGTTCTAAACACAATCAATGTACCAAATATACCTCAAAATAAAATAAAACATCGCCACTTGTTAAATTCAGAATTGATCCAATTTCCCAAGTTATTTCAAGCAATAGGGTTTGGTTAACTTGGGAAAGTTACAGGCAATTGGAATAGTTGGAAGGGGTCTGGGTAAAACTCAAATTAGTGTTCCTAATTTTCTTTTCTTTTCTTTTATCAATAATAAATTTAAAAAATAATATTAGTTTCACGATGACAAATCAACTTAGGCCCGATTTGAGGTGCTGACTTTTTTAATTAAAATAATCAAAAATTCAAAACACTCATTCACGTTACTCTGTTTATTTTTTTCACATCTTGTTATAAAAATATCAAAAAGTTAACTAAACTGTCCCTTGCCAAATACTTTCTTAAAAGTTTTATGACTTTTTTATTTCTCTTTTTTTAAACTAAAAGTATATTTTTTTTAAGAAAGTTGCCAAAGAACCCTAAGGCAGTGTTTGGGTAGGAAGTTTTTTTGTTTTTTTTCACTAAAAGACAAATTGGTTACAAAACCAAAAAAATAAATCCAAACAAAATATCACATCAAACCCCATAATCATTTCACTTTTTCTCTCACAAATATCACATCCAATCACAAAAAAACCCAACTATTTCCCAAATACAAAAAAAAAATTCTCCAATAATATCCTACAACTTAAAAAAATCTACAAAAAAAACTCACTTTTCCAACATACGGTCCGGATCGGTTCCAATCCGGAACCGTGAGGTTCAATCCGGAACCAATCCGTGGATTACGGATTTTTAATTCTTCAATCCAGAACCGAACCACGGATTCGGAAAACCAATCCAAACCTATCGGATTGGACTGGACTGGATCGGATTACGGATTTTACGGATTTCTTGCTCAGCCCTATCCAATCACAAAAAACCCAACTATTTCCCAAATACAAAAAAAAAAAATTCTCCAATAATATCTTACAACTTAAAAAAATCTACAAAAAAAACTCACTTTTCCAACACTCACTAAGTATACTTGACTGGGAACTTTTTTTTACAAAATTACTGCTAGGCTACTCCACCAATACATACATCAATAGTAATTAGGTTATTATTATATAAAATCTTATGTACGTCCTTCCTCATTTAAAAGTTTAAAATTAACTTTTTTTTACAAAATTACTGCTAGGCTACTCCACCAATACATACATCAATAGTAATTAGGTTATTATTATATAAAATCTTATGTACGTCCTTCCTCATTTAAAAGTTTAAAATTAAATCACCTAATGTACTCGTTTTTAACCAATCACAATAAATATCTAATATTTGAATGGAAAGTGACTGAGATCCTCTCCCATCATTACCCCACCACATTCACACACATGTAGGGACCAGTGATTGGAGAAAAAAGGAAAAAAAAAAAATTGATCAATTAAAGAAAGAGAAAAGGTCGTGGGGTGCTCTCCTTATAGGTCCAGGTCATTTTCCTATTTGAATTCAAGAAGATAATAGTCAAGGTAAATTAATTAATCAATAAATTTCAAATCATGAAAGAAATATGATTAAATTCATATAAAAAATTCATTGAGCTAATTACAAAGAGGCAAGAATAATTAATCAGTTAAATCACAACTTAAGAAAACATATTCAAATCATATATTTAATTATTATAAAGCATTAGATTTCATTTTTAACCTTAATTATTAATTTAGTTACACAACATTAAGAAAACAATCAAAGCAATAAAAATATTAACCATTAAAATAAAACTTACAAGAAACTTGAATACTCGGTCTTCCATTTCCTCTTCCCCAAAAGTGACTTTATAATTGTTTGTTATAGCTTTTAAAAGTGATTATAGTTTATTTTGATTTACGAGTCTGTATCAGATTATTTAGTATAATTTGTACTTATAATTTATTAGACAAAAATAACTTAAATAAATTAATAAAAATTAATTATTTTAAAACTAAAATAAAAATACTTTTAACCTCTATTTTTCAATTTAAAAAAACTCTACCAAAGTCTTTCTCTTCCCCAAAAGTTCTCCCCTAATAGATGTTAAATATGCTTATACCTAATAACAATAAAATTCAATTTATAAATAAATAAAATATATTACGGCAAAAGTGGTGAAGTTTGGTTGCTGGAGATGCCTAAGAATAATCTGGTGCTTTGCGAGTGAGCGTGGTAAATGTTCTAAATATAATTAACCCAAAAAAAAAAAAAAGGTTACTGCTAGACTACTCCGTCATCACATACATCAACAGTAATTAGGTTATTATTATATAAAACTCCACAGTCCAACACTGGGATTTTTGGGTGATTAGTCTAATCCAATCCAATCCAAACCACAATTCACATAATTATCCATTGCAGGTCGAAGAATTGAGAGTTGATTTCGATGGGGAAAGGCGGTGGATGTGTTCCCAGCAAGAAGAAACCCTCGTCGATCTCCGCCGAAGTCGCTCCGGCCAATGCCCCTCTCTCCATCGACTCCGCCGCCGCAGCATTGCCGTCCACCACCACCACATCTTCACAATCGATCTCCAAACTCAAGATTTTCATTGTCTTCTATTCGATGTACGGTCACGTTGAAGGTCTGGCTCGGAGGCTGAAGAGAGGGGTGGACGGCGTCGATGGAGTGGAGGCGGTGCTGTTCCGAGTCCCCGAGACTCTGCCTCCGGATGTTCTGGAGCAAATGAGAGCGCCGCCGAAGGACGATGACATTCCGGAGATTTCTTCGGCGGCGGAGTTGGTGGCGGCCGACGGGGTTTTGTTCGGCTTTCCGACGAGGTATGGGTGTATGGCCGCGCAGATGAAGGCGTTTTTTGATTCAACGGGGCAGTTGTGGAAGGAGCAGAAGCTTGCTGGGAAGCCCGCGGGCTTCTTTGTCAGTACCGGGACTCAAGGAGGGGGCCAAGAAACCACTGCGTAAGCTCTGCTTCTCTCTCTCTCTCTCTCTCTCTCTCTCTCTGCATTGTTTTGTTTTCCCTAAGCTTTTGATTTGTTTTGGGTTCATTTGAGTGCAAGTTATCTACGTTGGTATGTTATTCATAAGATTTTAAACAAATTTCAGTAAAAGTTTTATTAGATTTGCAATAATTCTATGGAAAAACTCAGACTTGAAGTATAAAATTGAGTAAAACCATCAGTGATTGCAGAGTTGTAAACATTTGAGTCTCCCTTGATTTGGGTAAAACTCAATTTGATATAAGTGCGAGTCAAGAAGTGGAGAGGCTTTTGATTTTTACGCAAATCCAAATTTGATTTAGGTTTAAGTCAAGGGTTGGAGATGTCTTTATAAATCCATTAGTACTTGTGTTGCTATTGTTGTATCTATGATTAAAATGGTACCTCGATAGAATGCCTACATTTTATGAAAGAAACATAGGGGTTTCACTGGAGTAATTGTTAGTTGTATTGTACCACAATGTTGGAACGGTTTCCTTGTTTCATGTAACTATTCTCTAATATAGGGTTACCTTTCGGCCTTGGATGCTGCATGGATTTGTTATGATCTTACTCTTCCTGTACATAAATTTAATTAAAGCTTTATCATAAGTAATGGGCTGCTGTATTGTTGTGGATTTGGCGATAACCTATGTCCATCTACCATTTGTACTATTTTTGCATTTCTACCAACTTCTTATGCGTGGCTGCTATAGCTTGATCTATTACTTGGTTGGACAAAGTATATCCATTTTAGACGCCTGAAACAAAGTTTATGACCCCCCGGATGAGTTCCCCCCACCATGGCAAGAAGACTTTTGATCCCAACAAATAGTGCGTGGTATTGTTTAAAGTTTTAAATTATGTTAATTTGTGGATGCATGCTGCTGGATTTGATTTATTCTTTATATATTAGGTAATGGTCCAGTGTATTATTGTGGTAAATTTTAGTTTGATGGACATGGTTTGTAGAATGGGTCCACACGTCATATTATGGGTCAAGCTATGTTTCTTAGATATTTTATATATTTTTTCTTTGGTCTACAATGTTCCAATTAGTCCAAGTTTCTTAACTTCTTAATTTTGTGTTGTTGTCTATAAATTTCTATGTATATTTAATGGAGTTGGGTTGTAGAGAATTTGTGATTTTGTGTGTGGTTTTGCTTAAAGTTGACAAGGGTAAGTGCTTCTCTCTCTCTCTCTCTCTCTCTCTGTGTGCATGAAATGACAAGTTACTGTTTTTCATTATTGTTCACAACCCCATGACAGCCCAAAACCCTCCCCCAATCTAGCCCTAATGAAACCTAATCAAACCTACTTGCTTTCAAATTAAAAATTATAATGACTAAAAACGTCACGTTGTCAAAATTTTTACTGTCTTCATAAAAGGACCTCTCATAAAATTGTTTTTGACAACGCACCAATTATACCCATAATTTTGTGATGCGAGTGGATATGTGCTATTTGAATGGTATGTGATTTTCTCTAATCAACCAAATTCATGAAAGAATATTCATGTTGATGATTGAGCTCAAATACATCTATTTTTTGCTTTTTGCTTTTTTTGGTTAAGTAGCTCAAGTAAATCTACTATTAACAAGATAAAAAAATTGGGAACAATAGGAGAGTCACAGACATGGTCCATTTTTGTGCAATGAAGGTCACTGACATCTCCATCAAAAGTGACATTCATTTGTTCAAAATCAGTTGCTAATGATCTCAACACTACCAAAATGGCACTATTTAACTTTGTTGTATATCCTATACTCTCGTAACTTCTTAAGGTTTTAAAACTTAATCTTTCTGATCGTAATTTGTTTTAACCATGTGATGCATGGTACGAATTTAGTTGTTATACTTAAATTTTAGATGCCCAATAGAATTTTATCGAGTAATTTATATTCTTGTCAGAAAATAACTAAGTGAGCTCACTTTGCCCTAGTGACACAAGGAAGAAAGGTTACACGTTATGGAGGATCCATTTAATCTTTTAGCTTTAGATTCATGGATGATCCAACCTACACAGGATTAGGAATGAATGTGCAAATTTGGTTATTTCTTTAGAACAAGCATGGTGTGATCCTACCTACATAAAAGCTATGTTTATTGACAATTTTAGAGAAAAATGTTTGTGCTTCAGGTACAGGAAGTCAAAGGAACAAGATCTACTTAATTAGGTGTTGTCCTACTGGTCGTTCGATGTAAATCAAACATTTAATATGGCATGTGTAAAAGGCCTTAGCTTCTTCTTTTTTCTTTTTTCCTTAGTTCCTTTTCTCCCTTCTTTTACTTTGATGTCATTAAGGCTTCGTTTGGGGACTAAGGGCTGGTTTGGCATCATCAAAAAAATTCAAAAAGTCACTAAAAAAGCAAAAAAGTTCATACTATTTACCTCTTTTTTGGTGGGAAATCTGTCAATTGAAAAAAAAAAAAAAAAGAGAGCAAAACGGCGCTGCACAAAACTGTGCAGCCACACATCCCAAGTGGTTTGAAAACGTGGCACACTTGTAGCCACACATGCCATTAAAAAAAAAATTGAAAAGAGACATAAAGTGTACTGCGCAGTACTGTTGATTGTGTCAGCAAGGATAATTTTGTAATTTTACAATTTTATACAATATTTTAATACACATTTTTCGTAAAAAGTCAAAAAGTTAACCCAAAACATCCGTATTTTTTTCCTTTACTTTTTAGTCCAAAAAGACAAAAATTGCACTTATTTAAGACACCCCAAACAACCCCTAAGTATTTTAGTAAAAAAGTTAAAAAGTCACTATAAGTTATCAAATCGCTCTCTCTATTTTTCTGCACATATTTTCGTAAAAAGCAAAAAAGTTACTAATATAATATGTTTCCAAATGAGGCCTTAGAAGCAAGAAAACCAGCATACATTGCAAGTATACAAGAAAAGACAACCCTTGTATATAAAATTTTCCAGAAAGCCTCTATTAACATGTCTAAACAAAAAAGAAATTCCTCCATGAAAATAAAATAGGAAGCTCAAAATCACTCCCATCAAAGCACTTCTCTTCTTCTCTCTTTAAATTTACCACATGAGAGACACAAAGGGAAACATCCCCAAGTTTTCTTCACACTCTTTAGGCATGATCTCTATGTCGTCTAGCAAATTATTCACTATTTATGTGAGGCATCGCCCAAGCTAGGAAGCATGGATACAGATACAGATACAACAATACGACAAAACCTAAAAAAATAAAATACAGATACGGTTAGGATACCAAACCAAACCAAGCCTTAAGTCCCATCAAATGGGGTCGGCTACATGAATCCTTCTTCTCTACGCGGCCCTATCAAAAGCCATTTCATTAGTCAAATTAAGTAGATTCATATCTCTATTCAAAACGCTAGTCAACGTTAATCTAGGCTTATCTCGTCCCCTAACACTTTCATCTACCGTTACAGTATCGCATCTCTTCACTACTGCCCCTGTTGGTCTCTGTTGAATATGACTAAACCATCTCAAACGATTCTCTCTCAACTTATCTTCTATCGGTGCTACTCCTACCCATTCCCGAATACACTCATTCCTAATCCTGTCTTGTCTAGTCTTACCACACATCCACTTTAGCATCCTCATCTCAGTCACACTCATCTTATCTACATGTTGTTTCTTGGTTGCCCAACACTCCGTCCCATACAACATAGTTGGTCTAACAGCCGTTCTATAAAAATTACCTTTTAGTCTAATGGGTATTCGTTTATCGCACAATACTCCAGACGCACTTTTTCACTTAAAAAAAATATTTTAAAAAAAATTTTAGTAGTGACATAAGCTTAAGAATATTGGGAAACCATACTATAATTTTATAATGCAAAATACTAATATTTAAGAATTATGTATTAATTCAAGTCAATAGTTAGTTTACTTTTTTAATTTTCAAGCTTGCAAATATTTCATTTCGATATCAAGTTTAATATGTTTATAATACTATAATAGAACAATCTACAACTTGTCTCTGCGTTTTTCCGTTTTGCACTAGTCAAAAATATTGAATGTAAGTTTCCTTGCTTATTTATTTATTAATGATATTTAATTTTACTATTGTTATATTTTCTTGTTAATCCTTACTTTCGATGTAGTTATAGGGGACATGCATGATACAATAAGGATACGTTAATTTGACAAATTCTTTTAGTTGAACTCTTATCAAAGAACTAAGCAAAGTATTGGAAAAATATTCTTATATTTATCCTCACACTGTATTATGTAATAATGCTATGCAAAAAATGCTATAATTCTAATTTCATAAAAAAGTGATATGTGACTTGGAGTATCTAATACTTCAAAATTAATATTTGATATGTATCCATGAGTATCCAAAGAGTATCAGTATTCGATACAAATACGATATGGATTCATATCTATCTTACAATACAAAAGTGTGGATAGTAGGTAGTTGAGTGAGCTGGTTGTGAAGCCATATGGAAAATGATGACCACCAGAGGTTGAAACTACCCACAAAAAACAATTGACTTATAGTCTCCTCTGCCTTTCTGCATATACAACACTTCTCCATCATAGTTTTTCCCTGCCTTCACAAATTGTCAATTGTCAAATAGTCTCTCAGGGAGCTGGTAGAAAAAGGCAACATCAACTTGGTCTTTGTATGCCAAACATTCCTTCAAGGAAGGCCTGACAATTTTGATACTGCAATCTTTGTGAACCTTGTCATGTATAATGAGTATTTTGAAAAGCAATCATACAAGTTAAAAAACAAAAAAGGGTTGTAAGAAAAATCGGTGAAACCGGACCTGCTGCTTGAGACCAACCAAAATTTCAATTTTCAGTCGATTTTTCACAAGGGACGGTCTATTTCGGGCTTGAAACATTTTACACCTATGTTGACCAACTGATTCTAATATCATATTTAAATGCTTTTTATCTTATGATTTTTTTTTATCATTATTAGAAGATAAGTGACGAATACTACATGTTTTGCAATAAAGATTTAAGGTGCGAGGCATTTATATAGCAGTTCCCACTCTGTCTTCATTTATTCCTAATGTTGAATTCTACCAGTTTCCATAAAACCCTTAAAATCTCCTGTGAATCCCTCATCTACACTAGCATGTAGTCAATTCTGATTCCTTAACCGACAAAAATGAAGTGTTCGGTTGGTATGAAATTACACCCCTACACAAGATACCTAAGCAAGCAGCAATAGAGACAAAATGAGAATTTGGATTTAGAGATAACTTTTGTGAAAATATTGAAAATTTTAAGCATGCACCAGAAATGGTGGAGCACCAGGCTTGTGCCGTACAACATATGGTTCAAGTTTTGGCCTTGATTAATGTTGGGAAGGTTGGGAAGGCTTGGTATTGTTGTCTCATCTTCATGTGGATTGAGATTCAAAAGTAAGCTACAGAAAGGACCTGGCAAAATTTTTAAAAATCATCGAAAGATAGGGGACAATAAAGGAATATCAAAATGGAGCCATATAATTTGATAAAGGGTCTTGCTAATGACAGCCCTAAGGGCTTAGGGCTGTTGATAAGTACCACAGAATGTCAAAATATTTATAATTCCAATACACATTTTACATATCCCAAAACACTTTTACATATTTTTGCTCCTTTACGTATTTCAGTATACTTTATACACATTTTCCAACACTAACAACAACCCTTAGGGTTGTTTTTAGCATTTCCCTTCGATAAAATGCATTGTGTAAAATGTATAACATAGTCTAAAAGATAACCATGTGTTACTTTGATATGCATTATTAGGCCTTTTTCCTAATATTTTTAGTTTTTGGGAATAGTGGTGATCTAACATGGTAAACATTGATCAGGCTAGGTGAGGCTTAGGTTCAAGTTTCTCAATTTGCCTTTGTTTCCTCATTTGCATTATGTTTCTCAATATGTTTGGATGTTTTCATCTTCATGTACAAAATGGGGTTGCACGTGGTGAGGGAGGACGGTGGAGAGATTACTATGCATTGTTGGGTTCAGTATACTTTATACACATTTTCCAACACTAACAACAGCCCTTAGGGTTGTTTTTAGCATTTCCCTTCGATAAAATGCATTGTGTAAAATGTATAACATAGTCTAAAAGATAACCATGTGGTACTTTGATATGCATTGGTAGGCCTTTTTCCTAATAATTTTAGTTTTTTGGGAATAGTGGTGATCTAACATGGTAACATTGATCAGGCTAGGTGAGGCTTAGGTTCAAGTTTCTCAATTTGCATTTGTTTCCTCATTTGCATTATGTTTCTCAATATGTTTGGATGTTTTCATCTTCATGTACAAAATGGGGTTGCACGTGGTGAGGGAGGACGGTGGAGGGATTACTATGCATTGTTGGGCCCCTTTCTAGACAGCTGAAGTTTTTAGTACTAGGGGTAATCTAGCATGGTATCATAGGTCAGGATAGGAGAGGTTTTGGTTCAAGTCTATCTCCGTTTGCATTCTGTTGGATATTTGCATCTTCACGGATAAGACAGGATTGCTTGCAAGAGAGGGGGTGTGGAGAGCTATGCATTGTTGGGTCCCTTTCCTTAACAGATTAAACTTTTTGAGACTAGTGGAGATCTGACAATGACACACGAAGACTGGATGAAAGGAACTTGAATAAATAATTTTTTCATCTGCAATGAAAGCAATCGATGGATTAGAATCGAAAAGTGGTGTATATTAAAGTTGCTGTTAAAATAAGAAAATAAGAGGACAGTCAAAAAGAATGCAGGATATGGTACCCGCCTTAAACAGAAGTAAGTGACAAAAAAGTTTGCTTAGCTGATTCTAATTTATTGGATGGTTTTATTGAGATAAAGTAAGGCTTCAAATTATTGGTGTTTCAAATTTTAAAGATAGATAATTCATAATGTGGGAGGCTCGTGGGAGTTTTAAAATAAAAAAATCTTTTTTTCCTTCTTTTCCCCTTCTTTGGTTGATGTTACTGAGACATTATGTTAATCACGCCCCCTTTATATGAGAAGCTGTTTAATGAATTTAGTAAGCTCAAATTCCAAATTTAGTAATAAAATTTATCTAAGCTTTATCTGAATTTCTCCGACTGTTATCTAAGCTCAAATTCCAAATTTAGTATTAAAATTTATCTAAGCTTTATCTGAATTTCTCCAACTGTTTTTCCCTTGGGATTTCATATTTATACATTCAGTACCAGTCAGTCAAGGCATTCACTATCTAGAAAAATATGATGTGGCCTCTTTTCTCAGGCATCCACAGTGTTGAGTTTTCACAGGCATTTTGTTTAGAAATCATAATGCCAATTATAACTTGCTTTTATTGGACTAAATTTTCAGTAATTTCTAAGATAAGCTCAAGATGATAAATTTCTCACATCAAATGATGGAAACTCTGTGTCACCTAAGAATCACTAATTGCGGCAAGTACAAATAACTCATTGCTATTTTAAAGAGTTGCCAGTATCATAAATTGCAGCGATCACATCCAATTCTCTGCTATATATGATATCATGCTTATTAAAGATTCATTATTGGGAGTTCACTATGATGGTTTTGCTGGTGACCCATCCTTTATGCTATCATTTTTTCCCCTCTTCTGATTCTTCTTGTTTTGATTTCATTTTAGTCGTATATTCTTTTAAAAATTCTTCGCATTTATGTATCGCAAGTGCATTTCTGTGGAATTGATCTATTTCCATATTTTTAATATGATTGATTGAAGTGGAGGATAAGTTGAGACTGTTCTATATTTGTGTTAATTACTTTCCTAGAAAACAAGTCTCAAGTATTGGTGGTTGTCACTCAACTATTTCCTTGCTCTTGTTGTAGCTGGACAGCAATCACCCAGTTAGCTCACCATGGAATGCTCTTTGTTCCTATCGGTTATACCTTCGGAGCTGGTATGTTCAAGATGGATTCCATTCGAGGTGGGTCCCCATATGGTGCTGGGGTTTTTGCCGGTGATGGCACAAGAGAACCAACTGAAACAGAGCTGGCACTTGCAGAGCATCAGGGCAAGTATATGGCTGCTGTAGTCAAGAGGCTAGCTCGGACTTGATTATGATGTGTTCCCAGATTTCAGTTTTATCTATCCGTCCAAACACACTTGTGATTCTTTTTTCTTCGATTAATCCAAATGTGTTTGTGTTGAGATTGATCATGGCATTTCACCTATTGTGATTGTGGATGATAATCCTCCTGCCTTCTTGTGGTGTCAATGTTATTCTTTTGTGCATCTTTATTTGTTCTGTGCCCTTTTTTTTCCAAAAAGCTGTACATGGTTTTGTTATTTTTGTGTCTGACTGTACTGTTAATAATAAATGATTCAATGTCGTGTGCTTTTTTTGTGTATATCATTCTGATGAACTTGTACTCCATTTATGATTTGATATGAGTGTCTCCTTCGATCCTCAAATTGTTGTGATAATAGTAAGAAGAATATTGCAGACATGAACATGTTCATTGTGTTTGTCAACAGCACAACATTCTGTGCACAAATTTGTGAAAAAATTGTAACTGCAGTAATGTTGATAGCTGTGATTGTCATTAGAAGCAAAAGTTTTTAGACAAATGTAAATCTCACATATATATATTTATATATAAACTGTAATTGTTATTAGAGGCAAAAGTTATGACAATGTTTGAAATATATTGCAGTGCAGGGAATCTATACAAATTAACAGTTTCATTGAAAACTTATAAACTGAAATTCGTTGGAAGTTTTCGATTCGAGTCTCAACTGATAATTGTCAAGCCACTGTACACTCTCTAGAGCTCTACCTTTATGTAGGTAGCTTGCTCAATCTTTTCGTAATACAGTCTTAATCAGCTTCCACATTCGTTTCTTAATAGCCCGTCAAATTCTGCTTTTTCAAGGTCTCTGTTGGTATGATCCAAAAACAAAAAAAGTCCCTGTTGGCAATGCCATCAATGATTTTATTTTACCTGTACATAGGAAGTCCCATTTTATAAGAAAAGTGCTCTTATGTGGATTATCCAAGAAAAATTAAAAAGCCTTGTGAATTTCATTAACATATCTAATGACCTCTCTAAAGTATCCTTGGGTTGGGGGTTAGTCTCACGATTAAAAACAGACAAAAATAAAAAAATAAAAATCTTACTTCTTGTTGTGAAATATTTAGATAACCATCAAAAGAGATATAATTGAAATTTTAATGAGTTTTGGGTCAAAGTAGAAATAGAGAAAAGTTGGGAAGCGTGGTATGTTATGTGATAAATCACATGGTGTGGTGTGATAAATAGTGGGTCATAGTGAAGGTTTTATCACCTATAAATAGGTGAGTTTGCATGATAATGAAAATATAATACTTTTGACTTTTCAAATTTGGCAAAAAAAATAGTGGCCAAGCAATTGCGCCATAGAATTGAAATTAGAAGTTTTGATTTTGTCCTCTAGATTATGTTTGATCCAATCTGCCATGAACTTCAATTCCTCTTTGGATCCATTGATATTTCTGGCCAAAATTCCACGCCTAAAGTTGCCTAGTCAAATTCTATAAGAAGGGGGTTTTAATCAAAACTCTCTCATAATAAAATTTTAATATATTAAAGATAAATATAAAAAAAATTTTGAAAAGTTCAACACACATCACTATTACCAAAATATACTTAGTGAGTAATTCAATATTTTAAATTTTAAAATAATACAACTTTTGATCTAGATGTCAATTTTTAATAAAATTAATATTTTTATAATTCTCTCATTAAGATCTATCAAATAAGATCCATGTTGATTATGAAATTCTTAAAAAATAAATAAATATAAAATACTATCAGAATTGATGTAAATAGTAACATGTTACTCTGATTCACAGTAATATTTTACTGTATAGATGAACCAACGAAGGGGGTTTTAATCAAAACTCTCTCATAATAAAATTTTAATATATTAAAGATAAATATAAAAAAAATTTTGAAAAGTTCAACACACATCACTATTACCAAAATATACTTAGTGAGTAATTCAATATTTTAAATTTTAAAATAATACAACTTTTGATCTAGATGTCAATTTTTAATAAAATTAATATTTTTATAATTCTCTCATTAAGATCTATCAAATAAGATCCATGTTGATTATGAAATTCTTAAAAAATAAATAAATATAAAAAACCGTCAAAATTGATGTAAATAGTAACATGTTACTCTGATTCACAGTAATATTTTACTGTATAGATGAACCAACCAAAAATACACATACTCAAACACAACATTTTTAAACTTGTATAAAATAAAATAAAAGTATTCATCGTCAAAAGAGTTTTGTGAGATACATATATATATATATATAGGCATGGGCAATATTATCCGAAAATAAATAAATAAATTTTATTATATCTTTACTCAATTACACGCGTCCTTTTTAAAAAATTTATGAAACAAAATAAATTGAATTATCTTTTTCACTAAATAAAAGTTCTATAAAAAAGTTTTGGCGAAATTTTTCCTATAACAACATATTTCTCTAAAAAAAGTCACATTTGGGACACAACTCATTGTTCACTTGTACCTCACTCCTACCTCTTGTGACTCTCGTATGATTGGTAATAATTTACCATGAGGCTTTCTTTCCAATAGCGTTGTATTTGGTTAAAAGATTTGATAAAGAATTTAGAAAGAAAAAGAAAAAATAGAGGTAAAATGTGAATAAAATATACTTACATTTCATTTAATTTATCTCAACTAAACACAACGAAAGGATAGTCATTACAGAGAACAAATTTAAGTGAATGGGTATCTGGTGCCTAAAACCTTTCTTTATGATCTTAAAGACTTAATTATGGCCAATAGTCAAAAGATCTTAACGAGTATATGGGTTTTGACATACACTAAGCATACAGGTTTTACAACAACTATAAATGAAACAAATAATTATGAAGATATAAAATAAAAAGGATATACAATTGAAAACTAAACTGGACTAATAATATTTTGCTGGTTTAAAATTTTATTTATTTATTTATTATTATTATTATTATTATTATTATTATTATTATTATCATTAAGCACACCATACACACTTATATATATCAAAATTTATACATAGAGATAGAAATACTTACATAGCTTGATTTTACTTTCAAAAGCTCTTCACCAGGCTCTGATATCAATTACAAATAAAGGAAAGAAGCTTTCTACTATTTTTATTAAATTAAGCAACAAAAACAGAACAAGGAAATGAGAAGTTTCGGCAATGAAAATGGAGAGAATTTACATTGATTTAGTATGTTGGTTTAAAAGCCAATTTATAGAATACAATTCCATGAACAAACAAAACCAAAAATCATCCTAGTCTATCCTATCATTATTACATATCTACTTTGTTGAAAATTACCATACCAATACGGCCAAAACTTGCACAAAAGTTTACAAACTATTAAATATAAAGACAAGAAAGTCTTTAGAACCATAAATGAAAAACTACAATTATTTGCCACTTTTTGCCAAATTACAATTATATACACTGTCTACCCTTCTCGATTTTCAAAGAGATAGACTAAAATAGATAAGATCTGGTTGATCGTATTTGGCATGTAATGTCGGCTAAAAAGGATTTGTTTGACCACTTTCTGCCTAATAATGCAGGTTGCTCCACGCAGGAACAGAGTAATGTCGGCTAAAAAGGATTTGTTTGACCACTTTCTGCCTAATAATGCAGGTTGCTCCACGCAGGAACAGAACCAGGATTTCATTATCGGAGAAGTCAAAAGAAAAATAATTTTTTTTCACCATATACACAAAACACACATGTATGTATAATATAATATATAAATTATATATACATAAAAAAAATTTAAATACCATAGAAGCAATTTCTAATAAGATGAAAAAGTTTTTTTGGTATAAAATAGAAAAAGAATTTTAGATAGAAGAATAATGACATTTTTTTTTTTATACTGGGGCATTTTATGTATAAAATGATATATATTTTTAAAGTTCTATGGCAAACAATAATTTTCACAGAAACAGAGGGGTTGTGGCCCTCCATAGTCTTCTCCTAGTTCCGTCCCTGACTCCACGTGTCCTGGATAAGGTTAGAGTTAATCACAAGACAACTGCATGTGATAGTGGGGTCCACTATGCTTCCATCCAGTTTATGAGATTGTGATATTTTTTATCAGTCTTTGATGAAAAGGAATCAAGATGCTGGTTATATCGCTCATTCCGAAATTATTCTACATCATCCACAGTCAGTTCCAACGGAAGATCCAAATTGTTTCTCTCTTTGAGATTCAATAGCATGTCAAGAGCCTCATTAATTTGTATAGGAGACCTTTGATCTGTTATAACAAAATGACTTACAAATAGTATTCTACCATCTATGACCATGAATGACAATTTTGTTGAGCTATGGATATTTGACGCTGTCTGTGAAACAAGTATTAGACTGTCTATCCAATATTCTGTCAAAGAAAGTTTTTGAATATTTTTCAATCAGTCATGAATTATTATTATTATTATTATTATTCCGATTAGTTATGATTGACCAACTTGAATAAAATGTGAAGTTAGGTCGTATTTTTCACATTTCCAATGAGGTGTCTCTTAGGTCTGTACAACCTTAAGTTTTATTTTATTTTAGGTAGTTGAACATAAATGATTAAAACAAAAATAACGTATTAATTCTGAGTTGAAAAATAGTTAAGATTATTAAACTGTCACGCGTAATACTTACAATGATGTGAACTTTTACATGTGAGTAACTGATTTGTTTAAAAATGAATCAACTAATATCTAACCTCATCCTATATTAATACAAGTAAATTTAGAAGTGAGTTTTAAAAATTTCTGGCACTGCTTTTCTCAACTACTTAATAATTTTTTAGATTAAGACATTTCATCAAACCAAAGTAAAATATGAAACTTAAGAAATAGGGTTGTAAGATTTACAACATCTCACCCCTCTCTTTTTGTTTCTCTCTTTTAGAGACAGAGATGGAAAGATATTCAATGATTAGATAATAACCTCATTTCAATAGCGGTTGGGAAGAATCTCACTAATTTTTCATTTTTAAATCTGGAACTCATGCATATGTTGGACACATTTTTTAGAGCTGGAAAGCTTGTTGTCGATACCTATAGGTAGGATTTTGGTGATTTGTAAGAGCAAAAGTTGAAGTTGTTGGACCTAATGGGAGTGTGAATTTGTTCAAACAGTATGAACACAACACAATATCCCAATTGGTTAATTTTGCATTTTTTTTTTTGTCGGATCACTTCATTAATTATGGGACAGTACTGTATGAAAAAAATACATACTCAACCAAAATGGATAAAGGAATTATTAGGATAGGGGTGGGATTCTCTCCAATTATAATGGAGTTATGGTGTT